CTGCCCCGGGGCCTTGCTGGCAGCCTGCCCCGCTGCGGGATGGGAAGCATTTTTTCCCGCTCGTCTTCCTCCCAAGAACCCTCCGACCGGTGAAAAGTTGCCCGAGATGTTTGTCTCATTTAATACAAACTTCGGTTCAATTAAACTATGTGACCCCTTTTCTCCGGGTAAGATCTAATAAATGAGTACTGAAATATTCTTTGATGCCTCCCGCAATAACTTTCAAGGTAAAAATCTGGCCAAAAGCCTAAGCAGCTATTTAAACTTACAAGAACAACTGAGTAAACAGAGTCTAACAAAAGCTCACATATTTCGGCAGCTTCTCCGCGGTCTCTATAACTTCCTCCCTCTTTGCCCACTAATGTCTCTTCAATGTCCGTGGTTTTTCAGGCTTAGCTATTGATTTTGAACAACTACAAACATTCTGAGAGATTTTGTAGGCGGTGCTGTTCTTTTTGGAAAAAGAAAACCCCAACCAAACAAAACCCCCAACGGAACACCACAAAAGAAAAGCAACAATCAAAAAAAAATTTAAAAATAGCTAAACAAAATAACAATCCCAAAATATAAACTCCCCTGACCCACACAAACAACAAGCAAAGAGATAAATATCAGTGCAGTAAATACCTCTACTTTTCTGGGATTTTAAACAACAGACAACTGGTTTTTTAGGGGGTTGATGGTCTGGGGTGAACACATTAACTGCATTGCAGGGAACAGTTTTGTAACTTCACCTCTACCTAGTGGAAGATTATTAACGTCTTGTATAACATTTTATAACTCTTGCATATGAATCTAGCTGTATTTTAAGATACTCTGTACATAACCTAAGGAATCAGTATTATTTTAAAGGTGCAAAATATAACCCTAGTAAAGATCATTCATAGCCGCACTTGAGTGTAACTTATTTTTCTCACATTGGGGCTTTTCACATAGTCTTTTTCATCCGCTCCAAATAACATAAAACCCGTTCTCTCCTTTTTAGTGGCGCAGTAACATTTTTTGAGTCTAGAGCTGTGCCGGTTGTGGTGGTGCGCACACACGATTGCCTCCGAGATGTGGTATCTCGGCTGCGGTTTCCGAGAGAGCGGGGGGAAAGATGCTTGCCGCGTTACAGCATGTAAGAAAACAGACGAGGGCGCCAAACGACAGCAATAAACCCGGCCGCAGGTTTCCGCTCCGCCT